CCGCCGACGACTCGCTGCCGGATCGGCGCGCCGATGGGTGTGGCCTCCGCGCGTCCTTCCCCTCCCGGTCGCGGGCCTCCTCGCAGCCGTCCTCCTCCTCGTCCTCTTCCTCCGCCCGCGCGGCCGCCGGCCCTGCTCGCCCCCGAGCGGGCGCGCTCCTCCTGGCCGGGCCGGGCCGGGCGGGCCGGGCTGCGGGTACGCTGGGCGGGGCGCCCGCGGCCTTCGGGGCGGGCCGGGCTGCTGTGCGCTAGGGGCCCTTGGGGAAAGAGCTCCGATTGTTTTTCGCCTTCCCGGGTTGCCGTGCCCCGATTGGCACCCACTTCCTTCTTACAGGGCGGTGGGCCCGAGGTGGGCGAGGGCCCCGTTGAGCGGGACCATTTCCAGTGTGGAGGAGGGTGGTCCGTGGCTTCCCAGGACGCGGGGACGATGTCTCTAAGATCTTTTGTTCCCTGAGTCCTTGCCTCTGAGCATCTCTGGGTACCAGAGCCCCAGTGGAGGGGAACATCCACCTGTGAGGCCTTATTAACCACGAGGTACCAGGGCCACTTGCTTAGGAAGCCTCTGGCCCAAAGTGACTGTTACTGAGACCACCATGATACTAAAGATAAAGAGAGAGAGTCCTGCAGGGGGTTTCCCGTGAGGGAGGTTTGTGGCAAATGAAAAAAGTTGGCCTGTTTTGGTAAAAACCAAAGTTTTCTTCAGGAGAGCTGGCGGTAGGAGGTGTGGGGCTTGCGGAGATGCTGGTCCTGGGAGGACCCAACCTCGGGGCTGCTGGACCCCCTGAGCCCACACCCCGCTTTGGGCGTGCCTTCCTATTTGGCCTCCACAGGCACTCACGTGGCGTCTGTGGTTTTAGTCAAAGGTGCGTAAAGTTTCAATATCAACCATATCTGCCAAGCCCAGCCGAGATGACCCCAAATGATCAGTTGCCAAAGTGGAGGAATCACAAAGTCCTGGCCCAGTGCAATATCCTGGGTTATTAAGTTATTAACTTACATGGTCTTTCTAGTCCTTGCCCTTTGTGAGTCCCTCTCTAGCGCCTAAGGAACACCTCTGCCTGTTTCCCAGACCGACTCCAGTGTCACTTTGTTTCACGTGTCCCTCGAAGGGCTGTGAAAGTGCGCGTCTGGGGTAAAGATCAGACCTGTTCTTGGCCTGTGGATTCCTACTCTCTCTACCGATGTAAAGAGGCTCCAGAGGCCTGAGAGGAAGTCATCCGCCAAGTCTTTATTTTCCCACCTGGTCACTCTTCAGAGCCTGTCCTCAAGCTCTGGGACAGGCTTGGGGTAACAGCGCCCAGGGAGGGGAGGCTGCCACCTGTGCGGTGGCTTTCATCCTGTGGGGTCTGAGCTCAGGGAGGACCAGGCGCCTGACGGCCCAGCACCCAGCGCCACAGGCCCCGGGAGTGCCTCTCATAGGGCAGGAAAGCTTCAGGAGGGGGTGAGCCCATTCCCAGGCGGTGAGGAAGGAGACCAGCAGAAGCATTAGGAAGTCACCCTCGGTTCCAACGCTGCATGTTTTCCAGAAGCGCTGTCTGAGGGAAAGGCCAGCTCTGCTCTGGGACCCAGCTCCTTGCGGGGGTTCCTCGGAGAACTGGCCCCGGCAAAGGCAGCCCGCAGGGGCCAAACACCTGGAAGGATGGTGCCTGCCTTCCCCCCATGGGCAGCCCATCTCGGATTCAAGGACGAAGGATTTGGACGCCTCCCTGGGGTGTGGTGGTCAGCCCTGACATAGAGCTGGGGGGCCCTGGACATCTTGTGGGTGTGAGGTGCGGAGGGGAGTTAGCTCTCCGGGGTAGGCTACGGGGGGTCCGGGTTCAGCCTGAGCCCCTGGGTCCACGTAGGTGCTTTAACCCGGGTCGCTCACAGCAACAGCCAGCCGCCCAGGCGTGCTCTGCGGGGAGGAGGCCATGGCGGGGCTGCTTGTCTAAAGTCAGGCAGTGCTCTCGGCTCCTTGCTCGTCTCTTGTGGCCTCCCTGGGTACCCGGAGTCCTTTCTGGGGTCCGAAGGCAGGCAGAGGACGCTGGGCCTCCCTGGAGAGTAGCTGGGGTGGGTGGCCGGCAGTTACGGAGGCAGGGGCAGCCGTCTGGGCCTCCAAGGGCTCCACTCACTTTCCCTCTTCTAGAGATTTCAACTGTCCCACCAGGTCACCTCCATAGCCTGCTCCCCAGACACTCGTGTGGGCACAGGGGCAGTCTGGTCCCTGCTCTCTTTGCGGGGTGTCCAGCCTCACGGATGTGGGTGAAGAGGCAGAGTCCCTGCTAGGATGCTGAGGACTTGGCCCAGGTAGCACCAGGCTTTTCCCTGCTCAGGTCATCGGCCTGTTCTCGGGCTGGGCCAGGGTGGGGGGTGATCTTGGGGTCACTCTCTCGCCAGCCCCAGGAAGGGGTTGCAGCTGGAGTGGCTTCTAGGTGCTCCTCTGGTTGTTCTCCCCCTGTGGCAGTAAAGCACCTGATGTCCATGTCCGAGGAAGAGACTGAGGCTCACGCGGCGTTGCAGGGACCAGGATGCCCGGGCCTCTTTCCCAGCTCTTGTAAAGGTCAGCCGCCAGCTTTAAGCTCGGAGGGACATGGGGGGCCTCTGCAGGGAGCAGGGGAGTGGGCAGTGCTGAAGAACAGTGTCTAGCCCTGTCCTCACCGTCCAGCTTCCTGTGACCCCAGACACACCCCGAGGGGCACCCTGTTCCCATGCCCACTCAGGGGGTTCCCCAGGTCACAAGGTCCCCTTTCCCAAACCCACCTTCCCAGGCCCAGGGAGGCGGCCCTGCGCGGGGGAGGGTGCCAGGGTCAGGGGCTGGGCTCCTCTGGCAGCTGGGCGGCGTACAAGGCCAAGGTGTGGTGCAGGAACTCGTACTGCTCCGCGGTCTGGATCATGCCCCCCCTGCGGGGAGAGGTGCACAGGCCGTGAACGGCGGTCCGGAGGGGAGAGCCTGACCTTCCCGAAGGCCTGTCGGGCTCCTCCTTCCAGGTGCATCCTCTCTGCGGCGGACTCCTCCCGCTGCACCCTCCCCAGCCCGCGGTCGGGGGCAGGAGGGGCCCCATGCGGGCAGGCGTCTTCTCTGGAACCTTCAGCTCCTGGGGCAGAACCAGCCCCGGAGTCGCCAGGCTGGGCCAGGAACATTCCTGACCCCAAGATTTCCTCTTCCCGGTAATCTTAGAAGTAATAATTCTATATATGTGTATAGTAGTAATCTAGTACTATATAATATAGTAGTAATCTAGGAACACACATATAGCAATATTCTATATATGTGTATAGTAGGCGCTCGTATTCCGCAAATACTTTCACATCAGTTAACTCGTCACGTCACATCAGTTGTTAACTCATTCCTTACAGCAGCTCTCTGGGGAAAGGGCCATTGTTTCTCTCTAGATAAAGAAATGGGGACCCAGGGAAGCACAGGGACAGCTCGGTGAGATGCACCCTGGTCCTCTGTCTCCAAATCCAGTGAGCTTCTGTGCATCGCCTATGGCCACCTAGTTTCTAGAACCAACCGTACTCTTTCC